TTATTCATTTTTTAAAAAGCAAGAGAGGCATGAGGGAATGAAAGGGTTGGGGAAGGGAGATTGTTAGGTTGACTTTAGAAATGATTGGAGTGTAGATGGCCTGTTCTGCAAGGCTGGGCAGCTGTGGTTCCATGGGTCCGCCTGAGGTGGCCTTGGTAGCTTTGCTGTGTTGCAGGGGTGAGGGGGGCGTCAGAGGAGCTCATACCTGTGGGGCCTCAGGTTGGTTTCAGGTGATCCAGGGCCATTCTGAAAACAGCCACTCAGGACAGACAGAAAGTTCTAGTAAATGGACAATGGTTTGTGTTGTTGGGATGTCTATGCACAGCTGGGAGTTGTGTGTGAGTTGGCCTGCCTGTTCCAGTGGATCTTAAGGCCTGCTCTCTCTTTTCTGTCCTTCCCCATTCCATCACAGAGTCAGATGGAGTTCAGCATCGCCTCCTTATCCATCCAGGAGCCCAGCAATGGCACGGCCACCAGTGAGCCAAGGCCGCTACCCAAAGCCTCACAGGGCAGCAGGTCCTCCAGCCTGGATGCCCTGGGTCCAGCCCGGAAGGAAGAGGAGGCATCCTTCTGGAAGATCAATGCTGAGCGGTCCCGGGAGGGGTCGGAGGCTGAGTTCCAGTCACTGACCCCCAGCCAGATCAAGTCCATGGAGAAGGCGGAGAAGGTGCTGCCTGCCTGTTACCGGCAGGATCCCGGCCCGAAGGACCGGGAGGCCAAGGCCCTGCGCCTGGAGCAGCGAGTCCTTCCCAGCACAAGCACGGAGTGTGAGAGACCCCAGCCCGTCCAGGGCTCCACCAGTGTGTTACCCGAGGTCACCCCCTGTGAACCACCAGGGAAGCCGTTGTCTCCTGACGCTGTGCAGGAGGATGAGGATGAGGATGATGCTCTGTTCCTGGAGCCCAAGCCTACACAGGTGAGAGTTCAGTATCAAGGCTGTGTCAGGCCAGGGACTTGCGCTGGGGCAGCTGAGGGGGACCCCAAGGCATGGCCAGCGACTGGCGTTGCACTGTCTTCTCCCGACCCTCCTTTGTTCCCTCCCTTCTCCTCAGAGGACTTCGGGCTGGTGGCAGCCCTAACTCATCTCAGGGTGTATGGTCACTGCCCTCTTACCCAGTATGTGGAGATGGTGGTCGGTGCGGGGACTGTTAGGAGGGGTCCCACAGGTGCTCTGAGGTCCAGGGTCACAGGTGGGACCCCAGAGCTCAGCCACAAGAACTCTAGGAGGACATTGTTCCTCTCCAGGTATGATGGGGCTCAGAGAAAGGAGCTCCTTTCCGGGGTACAGGGGGTAGCAGAGGAAGGATCAGGTCCTGTGGGTGAGGTGGGTGGTCATGGAGAATGAACAGTCGCTGGCTTCTGAATGTCCTCCGAGCTCTTGGTGACAGCAGTGATCATCATCCTCACCCAGCAGTTTGTCGCTTAGGAAGTGGAGACAGCAAAGAGAAGACAGAACATTTGTTCCTAACTTTAAATGGCTCTGTGTTGGCAGATTACACAAAACCAAAAGTAGGATAGTTGTTATCTTCAGGGAGGCCTCACATGGAGGCATTGTTGGATGGGAAACACAGCCCATATCTGAGAGCATTTCTTCTATGAGACCATGACAAGGCTCTGCTCACCTCCGTGGCTTGGTGTGGCCTGGGCCAGTGATGTCCTGTCCATCCCCAGCCTTTCTGGAAGGCTCCTTCAAGAGGAAGGAAGGAAGGTGCGAAGGAGCCCATTGACAAGCAAGACCTGAGGAGGACATGAGGGCCCTGGGCCCCTGGGAGCAGCACCTGCCTCTGTGCTAGCCTGGGATAGGGCCGTACGGTGCTGAGGAAGATGCCCTTCAGCGCATGAACACTCCTGTGGTCTGTGATCTCTGCCTCCGTTGAGGGGCCTGTGCGGTGGGAGCTGCCTGCATAGCTGATGGCCCGTCTGTGGGACCAGGTTGTGATTTGGAGCTAGGAACTCCTGGTAGTGGGGTGGCAGGCACACCTGAGAGGTCTGGCTGTGCCCTGCGTGTGCCCAAGGGCTCCTGGCTCGTTGCTGGCTCACGAGCTCAAGATAGGGGCTCCTCCCTGTCAGTGTCACCATGCCCCTCTGTCCTTGGGACTCTTTGGCCATCTGTAGTTACTCTTTTCTTGATATATTCAAAAAATTTTTTAAAATTTTGATCAAATACATGTAACATAAAATTTATCATTTTAACTCCTACTAAGTGGGGATTTGGTGGCGTTAAGTACATTCTCAGTACAACTATCGCGCCTTCTGTCTCCAGAACTGAAACTCGGGCTGGCATGCAGCTCAGTGATAGAGCTTGTGCATAGCATGTATGAGGCCCTGGCTTCTATCCGTAGCATAGAATAGGGAAAATAAAACAGAACACAACCAAGGTTCTGTCCCTACTAAACACTTAGCTCTACTCCTTCTCCCCAGCTCTGGGCAGCCACCAAGCTATTTTCTGTCTAGAATTTGATACTATAGTGACTTCGTACAACAGGCAATGTGCACCCCAAACCCTTGAAGTCACTCATATCTCAGGGCCTAGGAAATTGCTCTACTTTCCGTGTGCTTGGGAAGATGTGAGCTTTCCACCCTTCTTAGATTTCAGTCCCTCAGCTGTGCAGAGTTCTTGTCTTTTTGTTGTGCCCTCACTGTGTGTGTGCATCGATGTGTGTGTGTGTGTGTGTGTGTGTGTGTGTGTGTGTGTTTTGAACTGGAAAGAACACCTGTCTTATCTTGCTCACTTTACAGTGTCATTCAGAAACAGAAGATTTCTAGGCATAAAGAAACACTTTGTTCTCTTCTTGCCCTGTGAGGAGGTTATAAGTTGTGCTTCAAGGGGGCTGGACTGGGCAGTGTAGCTTGATCAAATTTGATGTCATTTTTCTGGTCTCCAGCACTAAGATAAATTGAGGTCAGGGGCCCCTATGAGGGAAGCCAGTTATTTCATGTGGGTCATTTTAAATGAGATGCTGTTTTTAGATTCTGCATAACTGAAAAAGTGCTTTGTCTCTCTACAGGTCAGCTCAAGCAATGTTGTCTTGAAGACAGGATTTGATTTTCTGGACAACTGGTAAACTGTTAGGCCAAGAAAAAAAAAAAATACAGCCAAGAACCCCAGAACACCTTCCACAGTGCTGTGCTAGCGGAGGATAAGAAGGGTGATGTTGCCTTGTCTATTTTCCTGGTTTCTCTACTCTTTTTCTTAATCCTTTGGAAACTGGTAAATATTGCCAGATTTTTCCCTTTTTGGTAAAACCAGATACATACACTATTTTTAGTGATTTGATAACAGAAGTTCTACAATTGAAATTTTTAAGGACTATTAAGAATTCAGTAAATCCTGTAAATAAAACTTCTGTTCCCAGCTCCACCGGTTTTCCCTCTGCACAGGGAATTTTCTGACCACATCACAGACGTCCTACCGTGATTCTGTCTCATCCTCCTCTGCTCCAGTGGGTGACCTCAGAGATGTCCTCAGCCATGATGACATCGGCCGTGGGCTGTGGCTGTAGAAAGATTCATGCTAAAGCCAAGTCCTGTGCTGTGTGCCACCTGACACCCTCCTGTCACTTCCAGGAGCATCCGGTGGCACGTGGCAGACATCGTCTTTGAGTTGCCCCATGATTATTCAAAGTATTGGTCATTGTTTAAAAAGAATTATGTGTTTAGAAGCTTTGTATCAGTTTCTCATTGTTTTATATCTAGATGTAGTACCGGGTGAAACCATTTCTTTTGGTTTTGTACCTGCTTCCTTCTAGGAGCTCCTGTTACCTGCACCTGCTGGTTGTCCCTGCACTGGGCACTGCAGGAGCTAGGGTGGGTGGAAGCAATGCTGGAGCACGGGGCCTTCTGATTTGCTGTTACAACCTTCTGTGTAGGATGGGGCTGTGGCTGTCCTTCATCCCAAGAACTGCTGAGGCCACATTGTGGTGAACTGTACCTGCCAGCCCTGATGGGTTGCAGAAGTGGAAGGTGTGTCTCTGAAACCCAGCAGTGTCCCCTGGAGCTCCATGCTGTCTCCACAGTGGATTCCTCCCCAGGTGGCCCTTTCGGTGCCCTGCCCAGTGGCCCTGAACTCGGTGCACCTGCAAGAGGCAGCAGCTGCAAGCCCTGCGCAGTGTGGTGTGATCTCCGTCACTGCGATCTCCTTACCTGAAGCCTTAGTCCCAGTGGGCTCTGCCAGTAAATGGGGTTTCAGTACCAAATGGTCAGGTTATCTTGTTAATGTCTGCAGACCATCCACAGAGGTTTCCAGAATATTTTCTCTGGCTCCAAGGTGAAATACTTGGCAACTCCCCACCCCCACCTCAGGGCAAGTGTCTGCCATGCTGTGGCTTTGCCAGCATTCGACTTGATTCCTGCCAGTAGCTTCATGTCCCTAAACCTCATGTGGCTCCTCAGGGCTGGGGCTTACCCGCCTGTGTTAGTGACAGACTGCGGCTCCACACGGGGAGGCTCTTTCTGTACTGTTTAAGTGTGGTTGATACATGCAAGAGAGAGGCTGCCTGCATGGTGGTGAGGGGAGACAGAGCTTGGGAGTTCCAGCTGGCACAGCCCAGTGGGTGCCAGTCACCCTGGGGCACAGCGCTGTCCTAGAGCCACGAGTGCCGCCTCCTGCACTTCCACCCCCAGGGCAGCCACCAACCAAGAAGCCCCATGCAAGGGTTCCTTCTGGAAGTCTGTGTGCTGCTGGGAGGACAGTACTTGCTCAGGGCGCTCTGCCTGCCCTTTGGCAGAAGTTAATTCTTTCCTACTTCCTCACTGATCTGTGTCCCCGTCAGGTGAGCCTCAGACTTGATAGGTATAGATGGGACCATTGAGAGTTGTTGTGTGTTCGGTACCTGCTGGGCCCAGCACCCACAGGATTTGTTCTCAGAGTAGTGATGCATAAGGGCACAGGCTCTGTAAAGCACGTGTTAAATTGAAGAGGGGGAATTCTGGAGGGTGCTGTGTCCTGCTCATTTGTTCTTGGAAGTACAAGTCCCCATCCTGCCCGACCTGCAGATCACCCTTCAGCACAGGGCAGAGTCCAAGCAGAGGCGGCTTCTTTCTCTTCTGGGGAGTCTATGCCAGTGTCCGCGGAAATCAGGCTCTACATTTGTCATGTGTCCCCTCTCCCATACATCATAATGGCATTTCTAAAGCCAGGAGTTTATATTTATTTTTTTAGAAATACACATTTTTCTGCTGATTGTGGACGCTCCCCCACTGGAGTCAGCCCCTGGGACTCAGCTCAGGATTCACTCTTGCCCCAGTGACTGCATTTTGCAGCAGCTCCCCCAAGAACTCAGAAGCAGCTCTGTCGCGGTGCTGGGCCGGCTCCTGGCCCCAGGGCTGAGTTGGTCTGCCCCGTGGGAGCAGCAGGCCTGTCCCCGGCCAGGCGCAGCCTGTGGGTGTCAGGAGCATCTTGTGTTTCCTCGCACCTCCCTTTCTTTGATACACGTTTTCAAAAATAATACATTCTTACTGACAACTTGTAACTTGGTTGTATTTTATACTAATAGCCTTTAATAAAGCCATTTAAAAAAATGCTAGATGTGTCTATTTTTGGCCTCCGCTGGGCTTAGGAATGTGGCTAGGTTGCTGACATCTGAACACAGGAGAGAAGGAAGGATTTGTGCTGGTTAAAGTTGGCTTCTTGCCCCCTCAGGAAGTCCTCCCCTCCCGTGTGCAGTCTTGGCAAGGTCCCCTCTGTAGTTACAGGAGGTCAGCCAGGGAGCACCTGCCACTGTAGGAGGGCAGCTCTGTCCTGGATTGTGCGAACACCCATTCTGTGTGACCGTGACCCGAGAAGTTCCTTCAC